AATATAACAACGTTATTTCTTATAAATAGAATAATAATAATGCATTGTATAGCAACGTCCATTTATTATTGTATATAGCTTACGTCTTGTAAATAATCACCTAGACATGTTTATAATGTATATAATTCATGCTTTGTAAATAGCAAATAATCTCACATCGTCTTATTCGTGCAGTGTATATTTTATTGTCGTTACTATTATTAAAGTAAACGGATAAATATATGCCATACTAGTACATTTAGTATTAGAAAGTAAACAAGACATAATGCTGTAATGAGAAAATAACTGGGAATGCTTTAACCGTTTCGTTTACATATCGTATGAACAACACGTACGATGTATAACCGTGTTGCAAATGGCCTTATATGGGTAGTGCTAGTGTAATATATCATACTACTGCAAAAGCATGGATATTAATATAGCGAATATAGGCATTTTATATAAAGAGTACTATACTAATACATGTACCTGTGCAGGATGTAATATAAATATGGTTTATTAGTACATATTAGTATATTGGTGTCTGTATAATTGCTTTTGACCAATGGCTCACAGTATTTGGATGCACTATTACTATTATGTAACAGCTATCATTTCAGGATATAAGGCAAGACCATAATAAAAAGTCTTTTTATTATGGTCTCGCCTTATATCCTTATCATGCTTACTAGTACCAGACGTCTCCAGCCGTTCCTAGGTTGGAAGATCCGCTTCCCCGCATAATAATAAAGATTTGATGATATTTAAGAGCCTATGAGGATACGGTATGTAGTGAAGGGGAAAGGGACGAGTGCACAATATTAATGAAACGGAACTCTTTAAATAGGACTGTCAAGTTCTTCGAACTGCTTACTAACTTCAAGCTACAATGCCTTCTTGGTGTCTCTCTTCCAAAGATATCTCTTATCTCATCTCCTCCCACTGTCCTGATGGGTTGTCTAGAAGACGCTGGTGGCCTGTCCATACTAATATTAATAGCAACTGAGGTTTATTATTATCTCCAAAAAGGTGACAACCAGCGAATGCATAAAAAAAGAAAGTTTATAGAGTGACGAGATTGGAGGAATAATAATAACATAGTTAATAGTAGGGAGCAAGACAAAGAACCAAGTGCTTGATGGTGTGGCATTGGGAAGACACATTCACTATATTATCTATTTATATATTATATGTATGTTTCAGCAGTACATGTAGGGTTGTTTACCATGGCTACTAGTAATGTAGCGTTTTAGTGTTTATTATAGAATTGAGCTGTTAAACGACATAGCAATGGGTACAACAGTCAAACAGTAGTTCCGACAGTTCGACTTCTTACATGACTGACAACTTTCATGTTGCAGAGAATCTGAGTCCAGGATGGCAGAGTCTATCAATAAAGAACTATGATCATGGGAATTAGTCTGCATCCCAATTAAACATTAGGGGATAAGTCATATGCTAGCATTATTTCTGAATGCACAAAACATCTGCTGAGATCAATTGAAATTGATGGGTTGTGTTAGCATATTCAGTAGTATATGAGTAATATATAGATTCATCACCTTCAGCGAATCCTCTCGCTTGTGACTATATAAGCTGGTAATGGCCTGCTTCTTGCATCGCGGATTGCTACTGATAGATAAGCATTGTCATACACGAGACTAGAAAATTAAGATAATGAAGAGGAAAAGCAAAATTTTTGTTAGATATATGTTATATATTATATGTAATCATTTTTTTCTGACTGTTCACGTGCTTTTTATGCGATCATCATAATATAAATACTTACTGACGACGCCTAGTATTAGGACGATTGCCTGATACCGAGCAAGAAAAGAGAAAGAAAAAGCCCATTTCGATATTCCACGATCACATACATTAAGTTGCACTAGGTGCAACAACTGCATCTTCTCTCCCAACTTCCATTGAATGGGTAATTGACTATTATGGATTATGGAGTAAGAGCTTGTGGTGGTCAGAGTAGCCGATCCTGATGACAGAGGTGAATTACAGGGGGAGTCCCTGAGTAGTTACTGATTATGATTAACAGTAGAAGCTCTTGGATTTTTTTTTGTTTAACTTCCAGGATTAATATATAATTATATCAGATGCCAACATCCCGGATGCTCCCAATATATAAGAAAGGATAGATAGTATAGGGCAAGTTTCCAAGCACGGGACTATTAACGTGAATATCAGTAAGCAATCAACTGATTTTTGTTCAAACTACAAAACCAGAAATAAATGTTAAAAGCTATAACGTTTCACTTTAAATATTTCTTATTTTTCACTTTCCCATTCTCTCTTTCGCGGCACGAAACTCACATTTTTCCAATCTGGTCAAATACAAACTTGTACATGTCTAGGCCATGATTCTTCCGATAAGATATCGATTGTCTTCTGTGAAAAAACGCTCCCAGGGTACCCGTCCATCGTAGCGTCTCATTTGGAATGAGATATTGTCGCAATTGGGCTTTGTTTCTTGTTGAAGCTGATTTAAGCAAGATAAAAGCTAAACAATCAGCTACGTAAAGTTATTCAATTAGAACAACATCTGAATGTAACAGTAAATGACAATCACCATCTATATACGTGTATTATCAGCATATGCAAATAATGCATCGTATGCCTTCTTGATGTCAATAATTTCCTTCTCGATTGCTGGGGGCCCCAATCTCAATAAAACAAACCTGATTGATCATGTGGTAAAGTGCTCGCTTTAGTATTTCACGTCAAGCTTATTGAAATCTTAACCATCTCATCGCCTCGTCGACGAGCTGAATTCCGTTTTCTTCTTTTTTTTGACTGTAAGTTTGTAATTAGGTTGGTTGGAGCAACTTTCGTAGA